GTAGGATTGCTACTTGATATATGTGTACCATCTAGTGTACATGGCTTGACCTCTTTTATACAGGCTTAATGTATAATCTTGACATTAAAATAGTGTAGTTACATGGTACAATGAAAATTATAAAGGTCTACCTGCAGGCTCACAGAGTGACCGTTCTAAAGAATGAGAGTATATTTTAAAATATGGTATACAGCTTGGCCTAGGCTGTGGCTATGCATGAAGTAGATCTGTCCAGGTTTTTTTTTTCTTTTCTACATACCTAGGAGGTGCGGCGCGCAGCGTGTGTGGAGTCGTGAATGGGACCAACTGATCGGAAGCCGATAAATCGATTATTGAAAAAGTTGACAACTTTTTCAATAATCGATTATAATCGATTATGTCGATTAGTTGTTGCAGCCCTATACCCTTGCCTGACCTTCTGTGCCTACTATTCCTATAATCTCTTATGCAAATCGGAGCTAGGCAACCAGAACCAAAAGGGTTCAGCGATTTTGATGCTAATCATCCCAAGGTAGTAACCGGTCATCAGCCACTACTGCAGCCATTGATGAGCTCTTGCTTTTAACTAGAGGTGCACCGAAATGAAAATTTCAAAACAGAAAAGAAACCGAAATAAAAAGTCAGGCCGAAACCCAAAAATTTTTATTTTAACTTTTTGCAAATAATTTTATTATATAAACGTTTTAAGTTTTGTGTATTTTTATTCGTTATTAAATATTTATATTTTTTACTATTAGGGGTCTAAACAGACCCCTGATATTTCCCTTTTAAAATAGAAAAAGAGATTGAGAACACAGAGTCCTCAATCTCTTTTTCTGCAGCCCCTGTTATCAATGAACAGGAATCCTCTATACTGAGTGTTCCTGTTCATTCATAACATGAGGACATTGTATGTTTACTGTAACCACAATCATGAATGAACAGAAGTGGATATAGATCACTTCCCATTCATTCATAATTGAGAATATAGTAACCATACTTTGTCATTTATTTACAAACACTCAGCGATCACTGAGTGTTTGTACCTTGCTCTCCATCCTAACAGCAGACGCTGAGCAAGCAGTGCAGGGAGCAGCGCTCAGCCTCCTGTGACAGCGCTGGCTGTCTCCGCTCACACACTGCTCTGCCGATCTGTGACCGGAGGCTGAGCGGTGCAGGGAGAAGAGATGCCGGCTGCTCACAGCGCTCGGCCGCCTGTGACCGTTTCTCTCCTCCCCGCTGGAGCACAGAGCAGCGCCGAGAAAGAACGGATGTACTGCTATATCGGTCAGAAAATGCCACTTTCGGCATTATGCCAAAAGTGCCATTTTCAGCCTATGTATCGGTGCATCCCTACTTTTTACTGATTTTGGTTTGCTTTAATGAACTTTAGTAATTTGCACAATTTTAAATATCACTTCAAATGCTATTTGTTGAATGGAAAAAACTCCTATCTAACGTGAAATGTTTTCTTAGAGTTCTGATGGTGTAGTTATTGATTTTCTACACAAGTAATAAAGTATTTATTTAGTTTGTTCATGTTGCCCACTGCATACAGTCCCTTAAGAAGCAAAACAATTCCCTTGCTGTATCTACCGTGTACCATCAACAGGAAAAATATACAACCATGTACACAAAATTTATGGGCTTCTAGACAGACGCATATTTTCACACTAACAACACTTTATCTAATGAGTTTCTTTTAAATCTACAGGTGGGAAGTTATTGCAAATTATATGAATTTGCACTCTGCTTCTGGAATAAAAAGGACGGCAAAGGATGTAATAAATAAGGCTAAGTCTCTACAGAAATTAGGTAAATGATTGCTTCAACAAATCTGTATACTGTCATCCTTGAAATTTTAGTGTTCCGAGTTTAGCATCATGACATGCACTTTTTTAAAAGACATTCTGTCAGAGAAATATGTGAGCCGCCATTACTAATCACACACTCAAAATACTGATTGAGTCTCCAGTATGAAGTCACTGACTCACAACTAGTATGCAGATATGTATGTCTGACTTGTTGCATGCTTGATCCAAGTCACTGATTTAATGCATTGACGTCAGGCAACCAGTATTTTCACATTGGACAGTCCCTGTATTGCTCTCAGTATGTCATTATCTACAGAAGATAAGATTCCTGAAAGTGTCTTTTATGCTGTTTTTTTTTTTCTTTCTTTACAGATCCTCACCAAAAGGATGATGTCAACAAAAAAGCATTTGATAAATTCAAGAAAGAGCACAAAGTTGTACCTCCAACTTTGGATAATGCTGTGCCTTCAGAGCGCTTTGAAGGTACTTATCGAACACTCCGAGAAATCTGCTATGGAGAACAATTAATCAGGGGTCATTAGTGCTGTGTAGAATCACAGCTACCTCTACAGATGTTATGTTTAGGGGGTGGGCGTGTTCCACATGTTCTAACACTTTAAACACCCTGCAAGCACAGAAAAATACCTGCAGATGTGCCACCTAATCCCTGTTGTTTACTGACGACACTCAGCATTTTTGTGGACTGAATTGCTTCAGTCCTGCTCAGATGTCTTTTGGAAAAATACTGAATCATGTCCCTTCTCATCTCCACATCCTAGGGACTAATTGATTTCTAGCCCCAAGAGAAGAACTAGGAGGGCTAATTAGGCTTCTTGAGATAACACAGGAAGTGTGCATAGTAGAGTTCTGTATTTTTGAGAAGATCGACATGTATTCTTTTTGCACTTGTCGAAAAGATAACAAAACTCTGTAAATTTATATAATTATCAGACCAAAAGGGAACAAATAAGAGACGTTTGTTAGGGTTTACATACACTAATTGTTTTTACCACTGACTGCAGGAGGCATTTCAGATTGCTCCATTACCTTTACAGCGGGGTGCATAATGGATAACTGCACAAAGATTGCCCTTCTCAATCTAAAGTTAATGATTTGAATGATGATTACCTGTACTGTGGCCGCCAGCTGTAGGTTTTGTTACTCGCCTACTGTTGCATGCATGTGAATACTATAAGCTGCCAGCTGGCCTATATTCATTTCATGACTGAGGGTTTTTTCTCCTCAGTTTTTGTTTGTTAATGACTGATGCACTTTTTACATTTTTGCTGTGTGATTCTTCCAACACATATATATCGTTTTTTAGACGACAGATAGCTATATATTTATAACACGTGTGTGCCTAACACCTCAAATTATTATAATGTTATTATTTGGAAACACCTCACATCCCTAGGATTTCATAAATGTTTCTGTATTTCTCAGCCTAAAACTGAAAGCTAACATTTTATTTCTCTAAAAGCTAATAGTGGTCACTAGGTGGCATACATTGTCAGGATCAGATATCACTAAATTCTTTTGATTGTTGTGGCTGTTTGCCACAACGATCTGCAGCCTGAAACAGTCAGCTTTCGGCTTTTGCTGAATACTTCTGTACTGAAGCATTCAGCAAAATGCCGGTACAAATCCGGATGTTTACGGCTGTCTAACAGTACAAGGAAGTGTGGTTCAGACCGCACTTCTATCACTGTCAGACACTCAGTCACTGGTGTCTGAAACAGCTTAAAACATTTAATTAATGGATGCCTTGTTAGTAAGGCATCCATTAATGAACAGTAACCACTGCTCTCAGAGCCTTAAATAGCTGCGAACATACAGTGTACATCACAGTCCCGTCGCTAAGGGGATATAACACTCGACCCACATCGGTCTACATGCATACTTTGTCTTCCAGAATGTTGGGAGCCCCAAAACACTGGGATTCTCAGGTTTCCAAATTGCTATACAGTTGGCATTTTGGCCTGACCTAGCTGGTCAATGAGACCCAGTGATCACCATTAGTGAGTTTCGAGGGGGCCCCCTGAAAGTCACTTGCATAATACAGTGCTCCAATTTCATGGCATTTGGGAAATCTGATTAAACAGTTGTTGGAGAATACAGCAACATCAGCTGGCAGTTTAGTAAAACCCAATACATTTGCTTTAAATCCAGCTATGGCTAAAGTACAGCTGATTGGTATAAGGCCTCAATTTGAAAATGTAAGCTGGGGATCTATGTGAACACTGTAAAAAAAGGGCATAAATCGATCAAATGAGAATTCAGTTGAATTGTTTTATACAGCGTACCCTTCTTTTAATGCTTATGTCCCTTTGCATAAGGTCCCAGTGGAGACTCTGTTGCATGGACCACTGAAGAACAAAAGCTTCTAGAGCAAGCACTTAAGACCTATCCTGTGAATACTCCAGAACGATGGGAAAGGATTGCAGAAGCTGTCCCTGGCAGGTCCAAGAAGGACTGCATGAAAAGATATAAGGTTGGTCATATTCTGATGTGCTTATACTATGCTAATTACAACACTAAAGTTAGTTTTAAGCAAGAGTTCTATTTTTCTTTTTTGGAGGCAAGCAGGTAAAAAGGTATAATAGACAGACTTAGGGGAATAAATAAAAAGTGTCAGACAAACTTTGTCTCGACTGGAGTCTAGCCAATCAACCATTACATTTTCTAAGTGTGTGGGGAAAAATGAAAGCCAGACTCTGTATCTAGGAGAGCCAGGGCTCAACCGTTCCATTCCACCTCTGACTGCAAGTCAGTATGCGCACTGTGTGTAGGCTGTAGTGTGCTCCCACTCCTCAAACAACATCTCTGCAATCAGCCGCACAAGACTGGTATCCATACAAATTCTAAATTTATTGTATGTTCCATACATACAGGCGCTGGAATGGGAGAGATCCTATGGTGGTGTATATGTTGTACATGCCAAATCTTGGACTTTGTATGGAATTACTACAATAAGTTTGGATATTTATGGATACCGGTCTTATTTAACACTATATGTTATTGTATGAGCTCTTGGATTGTTTATTATCACACGTTATCTTTTCTGTTCTGCTGACAGGAACTTGTAGAAATGGTGAAAGCCAAAAAAGCTGCTCAAGAACAAGTACTGAATGCAACGAAGTCCAAGAAATGAGGACGATCATCTGTTTGTGTGTCATGTTTTATAATAAAATGCAAATACTACATGTATTTGGTTGGATAAGTTATATTAAACATTGTTTCTTTTACTGTACAGATATGGTTTGATTTTCTTGCATTGTGCATTAGTTTTAACACAGACTGAAAACATGTAACCACCAATTATATGCTTAGGTTAGAGTCCTACAAGGCTCATATTGCAAACCTAAAAAAGTCTAAATGACAGAATAAGTGTTTTAATAATTCAATTTCAAAATATAAAACATCTGTGGAAGTGTAGACATCATCACTGTCTAAGCCAATACATTCCACTGCGTATTCGTTCATAATCTGAGAGTTGACCGATGGGACCTGGTAAAATAAAAATGACATAAATGCTTAGCAGACCCACCTACAGTTTAATACAACAGTTATAACATAACTTTATAAACTATTTGTACACTCTGGTGCACCAGGCAGGTTATATAAAGTAATATTAGTTAAATATATATGTGGGGGGAGCACAATTATTATTTTTTTAATGCCTGGAGTTGGACTTTAAATGAAAAACCTATCCTGTTAGAATGTGGATCGACTTTCTATTGAATGTAATAAGTCTGTGGTGCACAGGGAAAACTGAAGAATTTTGGAGAAGGGCTATGCAGCCGTGTAGACCACAAAGTAACAAAAAGTGGAAGAGGTTAAACGCAAAGTAAAAATTTGACCCAAACCACTGGTCACGTTTTTACTTTTTGTACTTTTGTTTTAGTGTGCGCCAACATTGTTTGTTACTCTACAGCCAGTATTAAGGCTTTCAAAGATTCAAAAGTGAGCAATGAAACCATATCTCCAACTGAGCCAACAATTCCATCTCCTGATTGTTCAAGATAACAGTTCATGCGGATAAGAATTCTCTCATCTATTGAGGGACACTGGAAGTTTCTCAGCTTTGGTTTATACTGCTGCCTACAGGAGGATTGCACACCAGTAAAACTGTAGGCCAACTCAGGATCACCCCATTCTACTACCAGCATATCTCAGTTTTTTGCTAGTGTGCTAGAAGGATGGACTGCTCTGCTATTTAAAAAGACTAGGCATATTTTTTTTTTCTCTTATGCAGTCAAGATTCTACACTGATTCTACAGCTCCAATTGCAGCTATCCAGCTCCAACATCCTCATCCTCGCTTCTGGAGTGCTGCATCTGGACTGGATCTTGTGGGGATCACGTGGAAGAGACCTTCAAGCACTGGTTTCCGCATAGGAAATCACTTCTTCCTGCTGCTGGGTCTTGAAGAGTGTTAGTGTTGAGAGCCAATCAGAAGGTTAAGTTTTTAACTTTTCAGAGACTGTTAGTGTCTCCCTCCTTGAATAAGACCTTTGTTCAGAGAGCCCCCCATATAGCTTGCCCAGTCAGAAAACCGGAGAATCCATGGGATGTGAATCTGGTTCACTTTGCAATTCAGGAACCACCATTTGAAGTCTCCACTCCTCTCATCCTTGAGGTGGTATTCAGCATAGCCATCACTGATGCAAGGAAAGCATCTGGACTGGCAGCCTTATCTTGCATTGAACCTTTTCTGCTTTTGTAGAGGGACCCAATGATATAGAGGCCCAGGACTTTCTTCCTGCCTGAGGTAGCCTCTGCCTTTCACCTCATCCAGGACATCATTTTTTCTATCCCTCTGTCCAGCTCCAGTTCACCCAAGGGAAATTTCCCTACATTGTCTGGATGCGGTTCTGGCTCTGAGATTCTACACTCAGCCATTGCTTCTTCCAGAAAGACAGATTCACTTTGTCATTCCAGATGGGCCCAGAAACGGTGCACTAGCTCTCATTCCACAAACTCTACGGGGCATCAGATTGGCTTCCACCCTTTCCAGTAAAGGTTCACTATATAAAGCAACTGTTTCCCAGATTTGCAATACTGCCACCTGGACATCTGTTCACACATTCTCCAAGTTCTTCTAGGTCAGTGGTTCTCAACCTTCCTAGGGCAGGGACCCCCTTGTAACATTTGCCAAGTTGTGGTGACCCCCAACGCTAAAATTTAGGGTTGACGCAGCTGCTGCAGCGACATCTGGCGTTGTGGCGGGAGAACTGACACTGCTGCACTAGGAGAAGGCTGAGGAGGACTCACCTAGTACAGCAGAAATCACACAGCGACCCCACAGGTTGAGAACCGCTGCTGTAACAGCTAAAATGGCAAACCATATAACACAAGCCGAGGGTATCAGCTTTTATTATTAATAATAATAATGATAATCACTAGATGGAGAACTGCAGGTCCCCCTCTGCTGATTGACCGCAGCAGTGGGCGGTTGCAAGTTTGCTATTGCAAAGTGAAATAGCCAATAGGAATCTAGCTATGCATTCCAATGCTGACTTATTTATTTTTTTTCTGACTCACGGCGGCCGGGGCTTCGATGTCAGAAATTAAAAAAACACGATCGCAGCAAAAGGTTTACTCTGCTTCATCGAGCAGATTAAACCTTTTCGGGAGAAAGTGTTTCTCTCCCGGGTGGCCGGGAGCTGCTATCTAATAGCGGGAGACTCCCGGCAAATTGTCATTCGACCCCCGAATGGGTCCCGACGCACAGGTTGAGAACCGCTGTTCTAGGTGGATGTTTTGGTCTCATTTATTTCCAGCTTTGGGCATAAGGTCTTCAGGTGCCTGTTGAGCTGCAGGCAGTCCCCAGTTTTTCTTGGGTCTGTCTGCTGGTGTTGCCCAACCCTTCAGATGGCCTGCCTAAAAGGTTAAACACTTCCTTTGTCCATCAATGGACAAGAAAGAAAATAGGATTTCGGTATTCACCCTAAAATCCTTTGAGGGAAACAGATCCCACCTCTCTGGTTTGATCATGCTCCCTACTGATTTAGCACAAAATCTTGTGAGCCAGGTTCATGCGTGCAATCTGAATCATTCCTATAGCAAGCTCCAGCTCACAATATAGTTCGGCCTAACCAGTGGTTGGGGGGGGGTGGGGGATTAGGGATAACAGATACATTAACTGAAATACTTACCAACAGCAGCGATTGCTGGACTCTTATCATAAATATATTTGGTGCACACTTGTCTTATTGTCTGAGCATCGATCAGCTGAGTGGAATGAAAATACCAGAAAGAAACATTAGTTAAAGCTTTCTGATCTTTTATTTGCCAAAGTAATTTCAAAGAATCATTGCTGGTCTGCGTTATGTACTTACATGGTTGATTTACAGTAGGTAGGGCTATCTACAATAAGGGAAGGACAACTACTGTGCCAGAGTAAACAAAACCAACTAAGGAGCAGCAGGACACAGATGAGCTCCATACGTCTGCTCACTATGCTCTCATTATCTTTCACTGGAAATTACTACACAACTGCAATGGCTGGTTTTTATACACCCACTTGGCGTTATATATACACACATGGACAACCACACTTATTACATATACAAAGTCTGTTTCCTGCTTAGTAATACAGCAAAATAACTTAACTGGTCTCTCAAAGTACTTCAATGGGTCAGTTGTAGAAACAGACTACAGTAATCCAATGTGCGATAAAACATGTTGCAAACATGCATTATTACAACTCTGGCTCCTGCCCAGAGAACATCATGGTTGCGACCTTTACATGCAGGAACTATTGCTTAGTAATACAGCAAAATAACTTAACTGGTCTCTCAAAGTACTTCAATGGGTCAGTTGTAGAAACAGACTACAGTAATCCAATGTGCGATAAAACATGTTGCAAACATGCATTATTACAACTCTTGCTCCTGCCCGGAGAACATCATGGTTCTACATGCAGATCTACACTTCCCATGTGCACCAAGTAGCAAGGGGTATTTGCACATGTCCAGAGGCTTTTTGTCTTGTAGTCCAGGCACGGACTTCACTCAGAGGGCTGAAAACCATGTTTGGCATTTCAGTGCAGCATTGTCAGCCATAAAATATAATTTTACAACTAATAGGGGTTTTGTGTGTAAGCTCTGCTATATATGACAATTTGATATTTGACACACATAGACATTGCTTTTCAAAGTTTTCTTTTTAAGGTCACGAGTTAGACCCTGTTAACATGGCGTTCTGATCAGGTCAACCTGTCAGTGTTTCAGGCACACATGATTGGAAGCTCAATAGAACTCTTTGGCAGTCAGATGTAAGCAGGCAGAGTTCCATTTTGGCAGACCTGATTGTGACGGATTGGAGATAATCAGATGCATTTCTGCTTACATCCAACTGCCCATAGACCTAACATGGGTCTGGTTAGTTTTTCATTTTTCCTCCCTCTAAAATGTGGCCATACACCTGCCTATTATCGTACGATAATCGCGGGAAATCCCGTGATCGTACGGTAATCGGCAGGTGTATTGAAGGCGTGCGACCGTTTCTACTGTATGGTCGTACGTCTTTTGTCTTACGAGCACGCCACAAACCCGCCGCAAATCGTAAGACAAATGCCGCAAGCGCACACTGCCTGCTCAGCGTTGCAGTCATCGGAAGCTCTCCCCTCAGCGGGACGGGCTTGCGATGATCGCAAGTGCGATCTGCCTGTCCAAAATGGGCAGATCGTACGAGCTTTTAAGTACTTTACACCCATCGCACGATGAAAGTCGTGCGATGGCTGTAAAGTGTATGGCCAGCTTAAAAGAGAAGGAAAAAAGACTGAACGGACACAAATGTCACAAAAGTGACATCCGTTCTGTACTCCAATCAGCAGGTGATTTGTGCACAGCTTTCCTGCTGATTGGAACAGACAGCACCTGTGTGATGGGGCCAAAGTATTATTGTTTCCAAAAGGGAAAGTGCTACATGATATACATTATCTGTATGTACATGTCAACAGATCTCCAAGCTTTAATTATTAACTTCAGTACGTTTAGTGATCTGGTGCAGTCATACTTCTACTGTAAGAAATACATGTGAGAAAAGGTAAAATGATGTGCAGGACATTAGACTTACATCGATCCTTGCTTCCAGTTCAGGTAATGGGAGTCTTCGGTTATAACACAACATCTGCCTGCCTATATCCTCACAGATAGGGGTGGAACCTGTAAAGAAATCAGATCAGAGACAAAATACTAAGTTACTTTATGTCTACCAATACTATACAAAAACCTAAAATGTGAAAGTATCTAAACTGTACAGAAGATTAGACTTTTTTAAATTCCGAGACTCTGTAGTGCAGAAGTGTTGTAAATTCCTCTCTAAAGTAGATTACCTTTATTACTTCTTATTCGGATTACTATTACTGAAGATTTGATACATTTATGATAAAATACTAATAAATCCATATGTACATAATGTACGATCTGCCCGTCCAAGGTGGGCAGATCGTACGGGCTTTCAAGAAGCATACGACCATCGCAAGACAAAAGTCTTGCGATGGTCGTAAGGTGTATGGGCACCTTAAGTCTAATAGTACATAAGGCAAGATACATTACCATCCAACTGAAGCAACATGTTGGTTTTCAGCAGATTCTTGGCTCTTGCAACTTCACTTTCTGTAACACTTGTGCATAGTCTTATCCTAACACAACAAAACATACATCAGTCATAGAGAGGCAGTGCATTTGTGAGTTGATTATATACAATAACTTAGTGACTGAACAGGCAAATGTTAGACCTTCATTCAAATAGTGCCGATATACAATAACTTTGTGACTGTACAGGCAAATATTAGACCTTCATTCAAATAGTGCCTACAGATAAAGAAGATACACTGGACATATAAAAGTGACAATTATTTTAGTTGCACCTCATGTTTTTTTCAGAATTTTCTCACCTTTGTGTGTATATAACATGTCACATGATTTATGCAGGATGCGTCACAATGTTCTGAGCAAGTTCCTGACAGGTACGATTAGCGGTCACCCTAGCCCCTTGATTAAAGGGCTTGTTCACACCATGTCCGTTAAGCTGCATTTTTTTGCATACCTCCGCACAAGTGAGAACAAGCTTTAGAAGAATAGGACATTTCTGGGATACATTTTGCAAATTAGGATCTCATACTTCTATGCTCCCCCCTAATGTTAAACACAAGATGCTTTTAATAATACTCAGGAGGCGAACTCTGCTCACTTACCATTCTCTTTGCACAAAATGCATCATGTCTTCTACTGTGTTGGGTTCACAAACCATGTACAGGCCCCAGAGGCCAGTATCAGTGTAACAGGTATTGAAGGACTGGAAGCTGTGACACAAGTTTCCCTGACAGGTGATCTGAGCAAGTTTACTTGATAAATTCTGTCAAATTAAAAGAAAGAAAAGTTGCTATAGATAGAAAACCATAAAAGTAAATACACCCCATAGAACTTGTTAACAACATATCTGACCAGGCAAACAGTGCTTAAGATCAAGGGGATATACTTGTCATACAAAAATTGATGTGGTGTGCTCATTCTCATAATCTGCATAAAATAAAATGCAGACTTGTCATGTGGAAAAAGTAAGTACACCTCTATATTTACCACCAAATCCATGAAATTAGAATTAGGCATTTAAAGGATTAGATTCTCCTGATGGAGCATGTGGAAGGAGCCTCTCTTATTTCATTCTCAGATTTCTAGGGTCAGGTGTTCTCTTTGCTATTTATAGGTGTGAAGTTATCAAGCCAAGTAGAGTCATCTAAAGGCCTCAGAAAGAAAGTTGTGGATGTCGGAGTCTGGCAAGGATTTGTTATTTTTCTTCATTTCTTGCACACATGCACATTTCAGGCCTGAAGATTACTTCCCCCCCCCAAAAAAAAAACATTACATATTGTCTAAAAGCAAAGACCCTGTAGAATAAAATGGTGGCAGTTGCAGTTTTTTCTGTCACACAATATCATCACATTTTTAATAAAAAATAACCTCAAGTTATTTTTAATGCATACAAACACAATGGGGGGGGTTTATCAAAACTGGAGCAGACAAAATCTGGAGCTGCTGCGCATGGCAACCAATCAGCTTTTTTTTCCCCCATTTACAAACCTTAACTGAACAGACTGGAGAGAAGCCGATTGGTTGCCATGCAAGTTTTGATAAATCCCCCCAATGTTTGCTAAAATATAATAGATGAGGCTGCATGAAGTAAACAGATGCATGTCAAGACTTAAAATTGTGTGCTCCTGTGACATCGCAAAATGTGCATTATCCGAAGTTGCCGCAAGCAAAACTTTAAAAGCATTTCCAGATCATCAATTTAGAATCATCATTGCATGATGGCCCTACATTTACTGCTCTCACTGGTGTGTGTAGCACAATAGTCGTTTTCATACATAGGCACACCAGACTAGGACATTTGCATTCATATGTCCATGTACGTAGGGGCAGGGGGAAGCAAATTTATTTATTTTCATTTACAAAGGAGTCTTAAGCTGGCCATACACTTTACAATTATCTGCAGATTTTCTGTGGTCAGATGGAAAAAAGTGCAACAGATTCCTCCATCTACACTTAACTGTGTGGATGGAGTAATCTCCACCTGGGCCAATCTGTTTCCACTTTTTCCATCTGACCACAGAAAATCTGTAAGGTGTATGGGCACCTTAAAGCAATCATTCCACTTTAGGGCCAGTTCACATTATAGTGGTGACTTGTGTTTTTTTGTACAAGAAAAATGCAGGTCTCATAAGCAGGGCCCTTTCACACTAGCCCGTTCGCTAAAATTGAGTGGTACATTTTTTGGCAATTGTTGTTTCACCTGTGTTCTCAGAAAGTGCAAAATTACATTTTATAACAACAATTTTGACAGGCTACTGACAATGAAAACTCTCGATGATATTGGCCTCCACTATTGTTGTTAGTCCATGGGTATTAGCATGGCAATTTATTTATAAAAATTAAGCAGGTGATCACTGAAGTATGGATTTCGGCCCATTCCTGAAGAACTGGACAACATTCGCACCCTTCCAACCAGCATCCCTCAATAAGTTGATTGAAGGAGCAGTTTGAAAAATTCTCAGCTGAACAGAGCTGGCTGCAAATCAACTGCTACTCGTCCATCAAGGCTTGTAAGCATTGATGGAGAAATCTGTTTTTTTTTGGCTGAACAAAAAAAAAAAATAGACATGTATAACAGACGTAAGCACTTATATTTCTATGGTCCATGGTTTGAAATAAGAATTTTGGCTGAATGCAATTGATGGCAATACTCAGTTTCATTGTCACAGGTCGGCTAGAACTATGAGGCTGAGTGATTTTCACCTCGCCTCATAGTTCTCCTTTAAGTACAGTTTTCACATAAAGCACCATGTTTTTTCCCCTTTTTCTGGGCCAGTATGCATATGCAGTAATATAGCAATTGGAATACAATAAAAAGAATTCCTTACCACACCACCTCCAAAGGACCGATCCCAGTTGCCTATCAATGTGTTGGCCACCATAAGCGGAATAGTGTCAGGATGAGACCAACCAACGGCTTCAACAGAAATGGCAATGTGGGCTAATGGCATTTTATCATCACGAACACGAATCTAAACAATTAGCCAAATTAAAGTCTCATTAAAGTTATCCTTAAAATCACATATTAGATGGAACTGGAAAAATGACAATTCTAAATCGGTTTCAGCTGAATGTATTTTTTCATGTATTAACCCTTCTTCAGTATATTCTTTCATTTCACCTGTGCAACTTTCATTTACAGTATTACACTTTCCAATGACAGCTCCTACAGGTATCTGAAATCAGCACAGTATTTGATTTGGTAACATCAACCTATTAAGAGCTGGGAACAAAATATTAAAAGCCATACAAGAATCTTTCATTGAAAACTCGCAATACATCCTCACTGAGCAGTCATGGAGGTGTTGCATTGCTACATTAACTGTGCCTAAAAGGTGCCCATACACTTTACAACCCTCACAAGACTTTTGTCCTGCGAGGGTTGTAAAGTACTTAAAAAAAACGTACGATCTGCCTATCTTGGACAGGCAGATCGTACTTGCGATCATTTTGGCGACCTCATGACACCTGCACGTCTGCTCAGCTATACAGTGTCCATATGCCCCAATTCCCAAGGATAATGTGGTATGCAAATACTGACCACCATTTCTGGTTGAGAACCTGGCCTAGGCCTCCCATGTCTGTGGGAGGGGGTGAGGACAGGATTTTTGCCAGGAAGACTGACTGGTATTTGCATACCATAGCATCTCCAGGATAGAATAGCTTAGCCTACATGTAGGCTCTGCAAGGTTCCCATTATGGGTGTTAAGTGGCTATTTAGAAACATTATTATTTACTGTAAAGAAAACGGCATTGCGTATTGTTTGGCATTAGTGGTAAATGTCTCTGTATGCTTTCGCTAATGCATTGAAAGAATAAACTCGTCTATAGAGAAAATATGATTGGTAGGCATATAAAATATCATGCAACAATCACTAAACCACTTTAATTTATATTGTGGCAATGGTATAGTACCCATGAAAGTGCAACAACTAAGGTAATCCTTACCTCACTGCCTGTAAAAGAGCATAAAGGCAGGGTCTCCCCTTCATATATTGATGGCAAATTCCCGAAATGATACTCTGCCAAATCACGCAACTGATCATGTGACACACCTTTAATAGACAAAGGATATGATCATTCAGTAACAGTAGTCGATTTAGTGTAACACAAACATAACAGATCTGTAAGATCTTAAAGATGTCCAGTTTAGGATAGCCCCTGTGATGCAGAAATGAGTATAGGTGACACAAAGAGGTTCCCCACTGTGTTTGACATGCACTAGGAGCTGTGATTTAGGGCCTGCTCACACTAGTGTGCTGTGGTAAATGCACACACAATAATGTGCCTTACATTAAATAGCCCAATTATTTTCAATGCACCCCAAAGCACTGTAAACAGAACATACAGCAGCCTTAAAAGCAGCTTATCGCAAAGCAAAGGTTCATGTCTGTGTGTTCTGATCTACTACACTGCAAGTGGATTGTGGTCCACCACCTAGGTGCATTTAAAATGAACTGCACCGCAGTACATAGCACTTAGCTTTGTTCATTACTGTGATGCAATTCATTAATGTGAACTGGCCTTTAACGTTTCACCTGCTACCACATCGGCTGGGGATCTGATCTTACAGAGGACAAAGCAGATTCAACAGTTAACTGCACTTGAGTGGTTAGGCCTCAATCCACCAAGAAGTCTAAATAGTTTAAAGTGTCTGCTGTTGCCTACATTGGAGGTTTAGCAGAAGGACACACAAACATGTTATGACGTGTAAAGGTTAGAAATGTATTGAAGACTTTAACAATCCTTTCCAGCTCTCTATTACAGATCTTGGACAGACAACTCTTAAGTAAGTTATTCACACGTACCACCAGCCGCAGCTAAGACTATTCTAGGTCCTTTATAATGCGTTGTGATGTACTCCACCAAATCATTACGGTTTATGGACCTGCAACAAATAGGTATGCAAGATTACTGACAGAACACATTAGGCTAAGTATATAAGTATATTCTATACAGGAATACATGATCATTTGGGGCTCAGTAACATTGCAATGAGTTTGACAATTTCTGACTTCCAACATAACCTACTTGATGTTTTCTGTAGGCCCCAGGATGGTCCTTCCTAGTGCTGTACTGTGGTAGGCAGTAGCATGAAGATAATCAAAGACCACTTCCTGTAGATTAGTCTCCACTTCTTGCATCTCCCTCAGAATAACGCCTCTTTCTCGTTCGATCTCAGCTTCTCCCAGAGTACTGTTTTGAATGATGTCTGCTAGAATCTCTACAGCTGTAAAAAGAATTAGGATTAACAGCACAGCATTGACCACTATACACGTGTTTAGGTTAGGGCAGTCGTCCGATCAGGTCTACCTGTCAATTTTTCAGATCGGTAGATCTGATCGGAAGCCCAATGTTAGTCTATGGGCAGCTGGATTTAAAACGCATCAGTTTACATTTGATCACCCAATTTCATCCAGGTCAAGAAAACAAGATGGAACGGAGCTCCATTTTGGTGAACCTGAATCTGACGGACTAGGGTAATCTAATGCAAATGAACACATGTCCGCTTACATTCGACTCACCATAGACCTAACATGGGTCAGGGTAAGCTTAGTTCTCAGAAAAAAAATGGACAGACACAGATGTCACAAGAGTGACATCTGTTCTGTACTGCTCTGATCAGCAGGGGATCTGCATGAATCCCCTGCTAATTGGAATGGACAGGCACCCATCTGAAAGAGGCCATACTCATAAGCAAATTGTTATCCCAATTTCAATCTATACATTAAGTGAAATACCAAAAACCAGCTCAGCTTCCCCAACAGTGATTCAGCAGCCTGCCAACCTTTTTATCTCTAGCTGTTTAAAGTAAGGTGAGCATGGAGCATTTCACAGAACAATACAAACCAAACATTTTCCAGCTCCCTTACTCGCTGGTTCTGAAAATAATTTGGATTTATTGCAGAGACCCACTATAGGTCTTCAGCTGCCATTGTTCTGTGCACGGCTTCAAGTGCGTCTCTGCACTTTTAAGGAGGAATGGGCATGCCTTCCCCTTAAAAAAGGGCAAATTCACTTTTTCAGAAATTGTAAACAAATGAATTTACCCACAGCATCCCACCACTTTCCGCGCTGCACTAACATGTCTGAAGTTCCCACCAATCAGGGTAGTGGTCCATACACCACACTTTACTTCCCAGCCTGGCAGTATTGAATGCCCATAATGCTTGCAATTGGCAAGCGCTCATTGGTCAACATGGTCACATGACCAATGACAAGCACTTCTGAGCCAGGGACCAGGTCCTGGAAGTAAGAAGCGCTTCTCATTGGTCAGTGTGGTGATTTGACCGTGCTGGGCAATCAGCACTTGCAAGCATTTTTATGAGCATTCCAAACTGCGGGGCTGGAAAGTCCAGTGTACGCTGTACAGACTGCTACACTTGCTGGTGGGGACTTTAGACATGTAAGTGCAGCGGGGGGGGACGGACGGATAGGGAAAGGTGGCAGAGTGATGTGGGTAAGTTAACTTTTTCACAGTTTGTGAGAAAGTGAACTTACCCTTTAATATATTCTTTACTATATATGTTCCAAGAGGGAACTCCGACTATATTTAGGCACCACACCTCACAATAGGGCCTTGACGGGGCAGTGTTGGGCCAGCAGGGGAGCAAAGAGCCTAGAGGTTCTCTGAAACAAAAATATGATCCAAAAGCAGAGAATCATACAGGCATTTATTGTTTCTCAAAATCAGCTGGAACCTGGCTTGTCACATACCTCTAGGCAGATCTTTAGAAAAAGCCTTTGCATAATATACGGTCTGCTCCCGTGATGTATATGCATTCAAGTGAGCACCCATGTTTTCAATTTCAAGCTCCAGGTCTAGCTGGGAACGCTTCTTTGTTCCCTAGGAGAAGGAGTGCAGAAATAATAATCCATTAGGATAACACTTCTGTAAATCACACATCCGGAAGAATGGATTCTGGCCTCTGTAGCTAATCATACAGCCAAAACATTTTATTACAGTCTTTGATTCAACATGGTTATCTTATTTGTCCCTTTCTCGTCATAGCAGAAATACAATGAGGCAACTGCATCACAGCAAACCATCCCCGCTAACTTGCAACTTGAGGTTTCAAAAGCTACGGGCAACATAAACCATTTATATTCCTGAATAGGATGCAAATAACATTTGTGTAAACCAAATGTCTTTGCATACCCAACTATTACCTTGTACAGGAGGCGGTGACATCACTATGCTAGTTCAAAGCAAGGGCCACGAGGAGAAGGAAACTTACACTCTGTGCTATTCACATTTTAGCTGGCAATGAGAAGCTGAGAAACACTCCTTGAATACAGCACATGCTTAGAAAATACAGTTGTATATTGCCACTCTGCAATGTCCTCTATAAACAATGTCAGCGTTTTTATGTCACATGGAAGGATAGGCGGTCCTTGTCATTTCTTAGGTCTGTATGCCAATTAAATGCAATCTTTGTATTTTCATTGGTTAATATGTTGATCTAATACCTGCACTATGTACCTGGGAACAACTCTAAAATTTCAACTCACTTTCTAGCTCGGTGATGATGGTCACCTGTACAAATGGAGGGGACACAAACTAAAATGAAAACTTAACAGAGGTCCTACCCTTTTCCACGCTATCCAAAGCTAAAAATAAAAAAAAATTCATAGAGATATTTCTTTATATAGTGCTGACAATTTACGCAGCACTTCACATAGAGCACTTCAGTCCCTGCCCTCAAGAAGCTTAAAATCTAAGGTCCCTATCTCACATGCATACAGGTACGATTTAAGGTCCGTTCACACTATCTCTGTGAGTTAATCGCACGGTATCGCACCTCTCATATTTACGGTACAGCATGCTGTGGTGTGGGCGATCGCAGTGTGGACGGGAGGTGCGTTTGAGGGTTCCATTCTACGAATGGCACGCAATTCCCCTCCCGCACTGGGAGACGTGTTGTGTTAATCGAACATAACCATGCAATTAACATACATAGATGGTGTGAATGGGCCTTAGACAGGAGCCAATAAACCATCCAGCATGTCTTTGGAGTGTGGGAGGAAACCAGAGTTCTCGGAGGTATTCCACACAAGAACAGGGAAAACATGCAAACTATATGCAGGTAGTGTCCACACCGCGATAGAGATACACTATAGCTGCCATTATATCACCTATCAAATTATGTAATTCTAATTATACATATTTGGTGTGCTTTTTACTTCTCCAGTTTTGAAAGTCTTACCTTAAATGCCATGTGCTCTAAAAAATGTGCAGTTCCATTATTCTGCTCGTTTTCATACCTGCTGCCAGCATCAATCCACAGACCAACCTAAGTTAAAAATGCCGAAAATGTAAATAATCGTGCTAAACAGAGTTAGATCACATGCATCCAAACAGTGTAAGCAGCAGTGGCAAGTCCAAAGGCATTTAAGAAAAAAAAAAAAAAACTACAATGTGAAGACTGTCAGAAAGACAATGCTCAGATGCAGGCTTCTTGCCACAAGCCACACTCATATTTACTGCATTGCTTGCAATTATCAGCTTGGGTAATTAAAGGAGAACTATGAGGCGAGTGCTTTTCACTCACCTCATAGTTCTAGCCGACCTGTGACAATGAGACTGTCAGAGGTCGGCTCAGTAGATCGGGAAGTGAGCGAACACATACCGGCGTTCGCTCACCTCTCGATCCTGTCAAGGATCTCTGCCGTGACAGAAAAGGGGCTGGATTCCCCCCTCCCCACTCCGATCCGCCAGTGCTGACTGGCGGAACGGACGGGGGAGGGGGCTGGTACAGCTGGGCCTGCCTCTAGATAGGCAGAGCCAGCTGTCAGTCACGCAGCTGGGCGGATCCCGGCACAATTGTCGGGATCCACTTCAGCGCCTCAGTATACAGCGAACTACAGCTCACTGTATACTGAGCCTAGGGTGACGGGAGGACGCTAGTTTGTGTCCTCCCGTTACCCTAAGGAGAACTATGGGGAAACGACTTAACCCCATAGTTCTCCTTTAATGTCTGTCTCTGAACAAGAAATGAGCTATGGAAAGGTTCCTGTTGCCTTATTAACCTCAACACGGTTCAAAGTCCATTATTGTTGAATGTAAAGAAAACCTGAAGGGTCACTTATGCTGCTAGCACACAGAAGACCCCTCTGCATGTCAGGACCTTCCACATTGTTAGTACCCTTGGCACCTGGAACACATAGTACTCTGATATACACAATGCCTTGGTCTGAAACCTAACCCCAAAGCCTCCCATCCCGTTAAAACTGATTTCCAGGGGGAAAAAACAAAAAACTCTCCTTGCACTGCAAGGGTTAAACGCTCATTTTGGTTTGGGTCCATAAAAGGATTTTTACTTATCCGATCCCCGCCCCCTCAGACTACAAGATTGTCACTCGCAGCTTTTTCTTCCCTACGCTCCAGCAGTCAGAAGTCTGCTGATGTCATTATGTACAGCGTATGGCACATAGCCCTGCATTATATGTGAGGATGTCGATAGACAGTCCACGGATAGGTGGGACGAGGAGAGCGCTGACTGCTGGGGGAGCAGGGATCAGGGAAGTAAAAGTCATTTACCCAGGTACCCTGGACCTAAACAAGTATTTAACCCTTGCAGTGTACGGGCAACTCCACTCCATGATGAGTTTTGTTTTTTTCCTGGAGATGGACCAGTGAGGCTGTTTGTCACATCAATAGGCCCATGGTGTGCTGAGGCCCATGGTGTGCCGCTTGGCCCATGGAGTGCCGATTGGCCAGGCTTCTGACCAACCAACCCAGGAAGTAGGGATGTTTCAGACCACCTAGTCATTTAAGACACCATAGGTGCTTACAATAATTCAGGACCACATATGCAAACATGTAGAAGTGCTGACTGCACTGGATAAGGCAAATATAACACACATCAGGTTTGCTTTTAGTCTCTCCAGTCTACACAAGATGGCCAAACGATTTTGTATTCTTTATGACCAATGTGAACAAGGAAGAAAATGACAATCTGGGGATATTGATGGAAATAAACAGAACATATCAGTCTTTGGAATTTGAGATTTATTGAATGTATTTGTTGATAAACTTAGTAAGTTTGAGATATGAGGTTTATTTTAAGAATGAATAGTTCATTTAAAGAAAATGTTATTGAGGCTACCCCTGCACTGCAAGGGTTACAAATACAGCGTATCCAGATAAAACAAATATATGATATTATCATCATTACTTATAGACTGAAACTGCCCAAACAGCCAAATATATTATATCTGTCAGACAATTAAATACAGTGACTGGGATCCAAGATGATAGGAAAACACCAGTCCCATGAAATCTTCATCCAATGGATTGATTCTCCCCTTGTGACTAAATGCTTGTTCACGTGAGGTCCGGAGGCCTGCATTTCTCTGCACCTGAGCAACAAAGGTCTCCGTAAGAGCACACAGAAAACAATTGTTCAAACCACAATGAAGTGGAGGGGTGCAGAGAGGTGGGGAAACAATGCAGCATGTCTACACCTTTCTGCACCACAGCTCACCTGAAGTCTCCCATGCAGTGCATAGAAATGAATGAAACACCTCGTGTGACATTTAAAGAACTATGGGGGAGGGGGCAGGTACAGCTGGTTCTGCCTCTAGATAGGCAGAGCCAGCTGTCATTCACGCAGCTGGGTGGATCTCGACAGCATTGGCTGTAGCTTGCGATATACTGAGCTTTGGGTCAGAGGAGGACGTTAGTATATGTCTTCTTGTGACCCTTAAGAGAACTATGGGGAAAAACACTTACCCCATAGGTCTCTTTTAAATAAAGCCCTCCCTACTCCATTGGAAGTTTTAGCCGTTATTATACTTTCATCTCAGCGGGAAGCAGGAACTTATCATTGGGTTTGCTAGGTGTTTGAATGCAATCTACATGGCTTGTCATATAACATCATACAAGAAACGTCACATAATATAAAGCTCTTACAGTACACGTGGACAGTCCAGAATCCTCAGACGCAACTCGGAGTCCATTATTTAGTGTGGTTACTTTAGTCTCAGGAACATTTAATACGGCTTGTGTTGCTGCTTGTGTAGACCAACATCGGGACAAAGGCTGTATGTAGAGAGATCATTACAAAGTGTTAGATGTATGATGCATGTACATTGTGTGACTGAAAATGTAGAATATTCCTCGTTATCCCAAAACACCAATATAAACAGTCAAGAATCAGTCCACAGAGCTATAGGAATGGCAGAGGTAAGAGGCCCTGTCTATCCTGACAAAAGGTAAATTCATCTGTTTTACTATACAGGGGTCAGAACTAGGAAGAGATGGGGGGGAGGGCGGATATCTGAGTTACAGTAAACATGTGAAGACAGAAATATGGAATCTACAATTAATAAAATGTTTACGATACAGACAATTACATCATTATTTAATCGCTGAGCCAACAACCCAAGCTCCCATCCTGCATAGTGGTCACATGTCCGCCTCTCACTAGTTATTAAAACCTTGCCTGGAGCAAGTCAGAAATTGCACCTCCTACAATTCTGTCCACACAGAGTCCTTTTTTTTTTAAAGTGGAACTCCAGGATCCCATTCACTACCCCCGATATTTATTTTTTACCCTTATACCTACCTTTTCTCCTGCAGTGGTCTTACCGAGTCTTCTGGTGGCAGTGGGCATCGGCATTCTTCCAGAATTGAGTGGTGTAAACATGAAGTCTTGTGAGTGCCACTAAGTCCTGGAGTACCGCATGCCCTGCCTGCATGATGTTACAGCTCGGGGGGGAGCGGGGAGGAAATGACATATTGTCCCATCTACCCGAAAGGGAACCTTTAGCGCTGGAGCTAGGAGGAAGTCGGGGACAGTGCTGGATCATGGAGAGGGAAAGTGCATATTGTCACCAGCAGGGGGGGTGGTGTCACCAGCAGGGGAAGTGATGTCACTTTACTAGCGGGGGAAGTGGTGTCACCAGCGGGGAAGTGGTGTCACTCTATTAGCAGGGGGAGTGATGTCACCAGCACGGGGAGTGGTGTTACGTCACTAGCACTACCAAATATTAAAACCAAGTTTAAAATACCCTGCAGTTCCACTTCAAGCCTGACCACACACACACACAATTCCACAAAGATGGTAGCTGAAATATACAACTCATGTTGTATTTCCTGGACTACTGATTGGTCACCACTATAATGAATGCAGGAAGCAACCCTGACACACTAAGCCTGGCAGTATGCTGCACTATCCTCTCCTAATAGCAGTGGCACATGAGAAGTAACTGTCACATGAATAGGTTCCCCTCGTCATTCCCATTAGCGGTATTGTACCATGTACAGTCACAGTACCTGTGATCCCCTTGTCACACCGCCGATCACCCTTCGTCCCAGACATCCAGCAAGTCTCAGCACGGACGCCGCCATCTTCGCAGTGTACCAGCGTTCGTGACGTCACGTCCGCCCACAAAGTTGCCTCGTCATTGGCTGTCAGCAGAATGTCCCGGAAGAAGGCTAGAGATGTAAACAAAGGAGCGAGCAATGTGCAAAGACTGACAGCACTTCATGACTGTGTTATATAACACTCCCCTCCTCACTATGCTGAGTCCAAGGGGAGGGACAAAACTGATTACTTCGGATCCAATCACATCATGGATCATTGTATGTCATTACTATGTAACATGGAAGTGGTTGGGGGTTACAATCTGAAAGACCCCTATGTTTCCAGGCTTCTGCTACAAGCTATAGCCTCTACTTTTTCCCCTCCCCCCAATGTTAATTAAAGCACTTACCTTAAATGATGTCTCTTAATCCGATCTTCCTCTTCTTTCCAGCTTTCTCTCCAGCGCTGCGGCGGGTCTCCGATCCAGCGCTGACTCCTCTGTACTTGCTGGCACTTCCTGTCCCACAGTGTCTGCATGCGGGTGCACGCGTCCATAGACTTACCTTGTGTCTCTCCTTGTCTCCTGGCCGAAAATCCAAACTGCGCAAGCGCCCGCCCCAAGATGCTTTGCGGCCTCCCGAGCATTTTCGAACGGGAGCGCTCCCGTCGAACACAGGGGTAAGTTTAAACCACTTTTAAAGCGTTTTTTTTTTACTGCTTGCTAGCAGTAGATATATGCAAAAAAAAACTCTGAGGGTTTAGAAACGCTTTGAGGGACTTCACCCCATGTTCTATTAATTTTTAAATCCTCTCTTACCTGGTTTGGTGGTTTGTCCACAAGAAACATACACATCCAGCGAATCCAGCGTAGCTCTGCGGTAATCCACCGCTCCACATCAGGTCCCGCACCGCCCCCTTCATCATCGGTTGCCAGATGTCTGTTCCTGGTCTTTTCAGATGGTTCCCTGATCATGTATCATGGCTCCTGGGATGGCAGGAGGCTACAGGGTACATCATTCTTGCCTTGGTGAGAAATTTGTAAGTGGAGGGATGCTTAATAACAAAAAAAGGGTATTAGAAAAAATGTGGCCATTGTGTGGAAAGCTGGTGAAGGGCTACATTGAGTTCACATGGCTGTTAAAAAGAAACACATGTTAAAACACTATGGGGGGATTTATAAAAACTGGGGCACACAGAATCTGGAACAGTTCCCATAATAACCAAACAGCTTCGCTCTTCAGTTTATTCAGGTTAGAAAAAAAAGCTTACAAAAAAAGCTTACAGGGTTATTCCCAAAAAATTCAATTCAGTGACAGAGAACCCCTAACATTATTTAGATGCCCCTAAGCAAAACTCCCAGCTGTCCCTCATTTGGAGGGACTGTTCCTTGGTCCTCAGTTGTCCCTCTTTTTGGCTTGATGTATAAACCTCTGTAGAATATCTATTATTTAACCAGCAAAAGTGTTTTACCACGCTAACAGGGTTATTCACTAAAGGGTGAAGAGTTTGGAGAAGGCAGGAGAAGTGAACAATCTAGGACAACATAGAACAATCTAGGACATCTAGGACAACAATCTAGGACAATGTTTGGGGTTCTCTGTCACTGAATTGAATGTTGGTGTCTGGCCTGCCAAACATTGCTGATGAGATAAAAAAACAACACATTCTCAATCATACGTGTACACCAAAACATTGGCTTTTACCTTACAGAGACTTGAAAAGCTTCGATAGCATGAAGCAAATGTCTGTCCTTTTTGCCTCTGTAAATGAGGCTTTGGGGGCCCAAGTACAAGGTCATATATACAAGTGTACAGGGATAGGGATTCCCCCAAAATGAGCACTAATTCTTTTCACCTTTAAAATAACATGTGCTTATTATACTTTACCACTGGCACCAATGTACAATGGGGGCAACAATTCTGGCATTATGGCTGTATCTGGAATTCTTGCACCAAATTCATACAAGGTTTGTTACAGTTCCATAGTTAATTCCAACACATCCTACAAATTCATAAAGATCTTAATTGTGTCACCTTACTACAATGATGCAAAAAATTCTTTAACAAATACGCCCAATTTGTAGTAAAAACAAAAAAATTGAGGTAAATAGCATCATTGACATTTAATATTAAGCAGGACCGTGCTTCTTCCCCATTATTGATCGCTAGGACACTGTAGACCTTACAGCATCACTGGTTGCTAGGATGCTGTCAGCCTCATTGGTTGGTAGGAAGCTGTTCTCACATAATCTTTGGTTGCTGGTATGCTGTCAACCTCACAGCATTGCTGGTTGCTAGGATGCTGTTGGCCCCACAGGACCACTGGTTGCTAGGATGCTCACAGCATCTCAGGTTGCTAAGATGCTGTCTGCCTCACTGGTTACTAGGATGCTATCGGCCTCATAACATCACTGGTTGCTAGGATGGTGACCGCCTCATTGGTTGCTAGGATGCTGCCCTCACAGCATCTCTGGTTGTTGGAATGCTGCTGGCCTCACAGCATTGCTGGTTGCTAGGATGCTCTCAGCCTCACAGGTTGCTAGGATGCTGTCAGCCTCACTAGTTGCTAGGATGCTGTCAGGCTCACAGCATCAGTGGTTGCTAAGATTCTGTCAACCTAATAGCATCAGTGGTTGTAAGAATGCTGAAGGCCACAAAGCATCACTGGTTGCTAAGATGCTGTGAGCATCATTGGTTACTAGGATGCTGTCAGCCTCAGTGGTTGCTAGGATGTCTGTTGGCCTCACAGGATCACTGATGGCTAGGATGTGCTCAGCCACACAGCATCACTAGTTGCTAGGATGCGCTCAGCCTCACTGGTTGCTAGAATGCTGTGGGCCTCACATTGATGCTTGCTAGGACACTGTTGGTCACACAACACCATAACAACCAATGACGCTGTGCGGCTCAGGGGTTCCCCACCATACTTCCATGTGACAAGTTCATGTATATTCTTCCAACAGGTATATGAATCTGTCTCCAGTGTGATACTTGTCACATGAATGGGAGACAGTTTTATTATCAGCACCTATGACACTCTTTATAAATTCCAGAGAATGTGTTGTACATTACATCCTAATGCTGCACTCTGTGTACCATGCTGTATGTTACACACTCTATACTGCTACATCCTGTACAATGTGCTGTATGTTACACTGCCGGACATTAGAACTGTGTATTGTGTAGTGTTGTTCTATAGATCTAGGACTGCTGCAGACAGGATATCACAGCACAGTGTCTGCAGGGCGAGCTGCCATTGTCCCGGCGTTGACATCCCTGTAAAGTCCCTGAGAGCACACATGTGACGAGCCCTCGGAGCCCCTCCCCCCTCTCTCCGGGCTCCTCGCTGTCACGGGGCGGGCGGATGGTAGTTACATGCTGCTGCTGAGGTGGAGCCGTTCGTTGCTACGGAGCAGCGTGCAGTTCCTCGTTGTCTCACAGCCCGCATCTTCGGTGACTGGCACAGATCGGATCCATAGTTCTCTCCTACACGGCAGGCCTGGCGGACATCTGTGCGGAGTGTCCCGGAGTGAACAGCAGCGGGCGATGGCAGAGAAGAGGCAGCTGGTGGTAGAGGAGGAGAGGTGAGCGGGCTCAGCGTAAAGCTCTCTCCGGTGCCTGTCCCATAGACTTGTATTAGGGCCAGCAGACGTATAGGTGCAGCAGAGGCGGCAGGTGAGGGGGCGTGGTCAGAGAGGTGCAGTGATCGATGAGTTATGTCTGGAGGGGGGCACCGCTTTGTTCAGTGCATGCAAAAAGTTATGAGCCTGTTGCAGCCCCTGTGTCTTATTAAAAATCATTTCATGTTGTATCCATCCGGGACAAGGAGACCGGTTCACCAAAACTTTCATTTCACTACATTCCCCAATAGGCACAAAGGATTAAATCCACTTTGTGTGCACTTGGTGCCTTTACAGACCCAGATATTACCATATAAAAGTAATGATATCCTCACTCTGCTGCACATTGCCTGTAGGAGGGGCCTAGCATGCCCCACCCACTACAGGTTGCCTTCATAAAACAGGAGGGGGCGGAGAAGAGACCAGTCAAGCTGCATAAGGAGAGAGCCGCAGCGACTGGTCTTTATCACAGGAGGCAAAACTAAAAGTTGGATTACTGCACAGATCTGGAAAAAATACACAAAGATTTAAAGTGACGTTAAACTCAGAAATGAAATCCTAAAAATACAATCAAATACTCTAACTATTAGCAAAAATGTATCCTATTTGTGCCTCACTCCGCTGTTGATCCTCAAATCTTCTCTGAATTCATGCTGACACTGTCCTTCCCAGAGTTCAGCTTTTAAATCAAGCTTTTTTTTGGCACAGATGGTGTGCTTTTTTTTTTTTTTTTTTTGCAGCCTTAAAAAGGCCATTTGTAACAAAAGAAATAAGCTGAATAGCCTGCGATGCTTCCAAGAGGCACGAGTGACATCACCATGTCCTTCTGCGGAGTTGGGAGCTTGATATCACATGAGAATACACAACAAGCCATTGTAAGAGAGTGAGCTAGTGAGATTTTGAGCCCCCAGCTTTCCCCTGCTGTCACTATGGAGGAAGGACAGGGGGTCACATACTCTGAAGTCCTGGCTCCAAACTACAGCAACGCTGGAGGGAAGGTAAGTATATACAGCAGGAGGGGCAGTAGTTGGAAGACCAAAGTTTACGTTTTGGAGAGGGATTAGATAATCTATCAGGTTTTTATTGCTGTCTGTGTCACCAATATGGAGATTCACCCTCTCTATGTGCTGGTGACCGTCAATCCCAAATTGGTTGCCACCAGAACAGTAATAGATGGAAAATCTTCCAATGGGGACACTATTTCTGGAGACCACCAGAGATTTAACCCACTTTGTAGGGATTTCCTCTCACTTTCTATTGTGACTTATTGGTGCAATAGCTAGTTTGCTATTGGCTATTGCAAAGTGCAATAGCCAATAGCAATCTAGCTATGCATTCATATGCCTTTTCTGACTGACAGATTAAACCTTTCCGGGAGGAAGTGTTTCTCTCCCGGCGGCCTGGAGCCGCTATCTAATAGCGGGAGATTCCCGGAGCGTCCGGGGGAGTTGGGATGTCTGACTTTAACAGGCACCTTCTCTGGAGTGTTCATATGGACACATGGGTCCGTTCATCTGCACAAAGGGGGCATGTTGTCCATGTGCAGCAGGCCTTATAGATAATGGTTCAGAGTTCTGCAGTAATCTGTTGTGTACTTTGACAGTGTGCTCCTAGACGCCTTCATGCAGCAGGTTGGGTGTTCTTTGCATGTAGTGTAAAGATAGGTGATCTCCAATGTAATCACTGCTCCTCGACCTATGGTATAAGTTCATGAAGCCTGTCATGTTTGCCATGCCATAATACGAGAACTTGTTGATTTTATTTTTTGCCTATTACACTGCAAAAGCTTGTAGGCTATTAAAATATTTTGGTTGCAATTGTACAGTGATCTATATGCACAGAATAGGACTATGCAGCAGACGGAGGGGATTGGGGGGGAGTATATTCAGTATAGCATTTTTTTTTTTGTCATTAATGCTGTCTAAGATTGTCTTGCGCCTCCAGAAAGGCAGTTCTCATGCTATTACTGACACGTTCAGGTAGTTATTAATGGCAATTCTTTTACATTGTCGCCATGGCTGCATCAAATTCAAAATGAAATGCCGCCATTTCAGAGATAAGAAAATTAGTAGTAAATAAGACCAATGTAATTTTGGAGTAATTTAGATTGGGAATGAGGAGGTTGGTTGCTTAGATGCTGGCAGCCCGAGGCTGCCGACATCTAAGCAACCAATGTCAATCGGCCTCACAACATCTAGCAACCGTAGAGAGATGCAGATAACAGTTGCACCCCATACAACGATATAACCAAAGTGAATACAGTGGTGCTCATAGTGACATCCACAGTAGAGGAAAACCAGCACTCAGTCCTTTTTAGGTACAAATCTCATTTATTATAAAAGCATCACATAGGTCATAAAGACAACATTTCTGGGCCACGCAGGGTACCTTCCTCAGGTCTTTTCACTGTGTCACCTGAATGGCCCCAAAAGATTGGTTTTGAACCCTATGTGACGCCTTTATAATGATAGTACATTGCACGTTGAAGGATTGATTGCTGGTGGCTATTCTATTTTTCTAGCAGCCAATAAGGCTTGGCTGCACACCGTCATTGGTTGCTTGGCACTGGTGGTCCAGAGACAGCCAGAGTCCTAGCAACCAATCAAACTTGGCCACACAACGTCCTTGAGATTTGTGCACAAGAGGGGCTCTATGAATTTGTGTGTGTGAATTTGTCGCATTCGTGGGCATTTGTCCTATGGTGGCGCAGACACTATAAATTCCTGGCATTGATGTCTAGGACTCAAATATGGGTCTAGATAAACATCAGTCATCAATCCTACAGCATGTGCTGTAGCTAGATGTCACAATGGGCACAGACCTCTGTTTTCAGACCTGTAAGTAGTGTTTACTGAATGGCTGATCTCATTACATCTGCAAGGTTCACTAAACTGATTATAAGCCTTGAGATTTGATCTGTTCAGAATCAGCTTTGAACTGCAAAGTTCATCTTTCAGACACTTTGACAGATCAGGCGAAATGGGATTGATGAAGTCAAAGAGCAGTGATATAAACTAACCCATTACAACCAATCAGATTTTAGCAGTTTCATGTAATCTGACTAGAAATCCTTCCCCGTAGTTGCACAGTGACAGTAATCTAGTGTGGAGATAGATCCTCACATATATATTAAGATGAACTCCAGGATCCTGTTCATGTTGTATGCGTGGATCACTTTCGCCATGCTTGATAAAAAAAAAAGCTGTGACGTTTTTAAATGAATGCTTTACTTTTTGATCATTTTAATCCCTGCAACGTCAGCTCCAGGAGGGAGGACGTATGCTGGTGCCGGACGTCATATCCGCCAGAGGCAATAAGTAGTACATTTCCCATAATTCAATGGCAATGCAGGATGTGGTCTGCCTGTATGTGGGTGGAGCTCTGTATTGTGTCTCGATTACATGTAAACGTCCACATAGCCAACTCTTACCCACATAATTACATAATGCTAACATAACCTGTTCCTCAAAGGCTGCTGCTGTTTGTGTGTGGACATCACTGTGCTGACGAGCAGCTATTAGCATAGCTGCCAATCAATGGTTGTGCAGGTTGCGAACATGCTGTGCTTTTTCTAGGAAAAGTGACCAGGCCCTATTTCTCCATAGGGAGAGTACAACAGCACAAAGACCCAATAAACAGGAGGAAAGAGGGACCTGTTTGGGGAGTAAAACATATTTGAAAAACAGTCTGTGAAAGGAAAAGGAAAGCATTTTTCACAAGGAAGACACATACCTTGCTAATGGCATTCTACTCCTTCTAACTGCAGTTCATCTTTAACAGAAAAGGTCAACCAGGGATTCATGGAACCCTAGGGGTGCTTTTAAGCAACAAATAATTTCTGCTTTCCCTTGGTGTCAGGGCCTTTCGTAACCACTTACATTAGTGATCCTTTAAGCTACCTGTAAACAAGAGAATTCTTCCAACTCACAACCAATGTAAGGAGATTGTTCTCACTGACCACCAACGTAAGGAACATTCTTCTCACTGACCACCTACGTAAGGAACAGGCTTCTTCTCACTGACCACCAATGTAAAGGAACAGGCTTCTTCTCACTGACCACCAACGTAAGGAACGAGCGTCTTCTCACTGACCAGCAACGTAAGGAACAGTCTTCTTCTCACTGACCACCAACATAAGGAACAGTCTTCTTCTCACTGACCACCAACTTAAGGAACAGTCTTCTTCTCACTGACCACCAACGTAAGGAACAGTCTTCTTCTTACTGACCACCAACGTAAGGAACAGTCTTCTTCTCACTGACCACCAACGTAAGGAACAGTCTTCTTCTCACTGACCACCAACGTAAGGAACAGTCTTCTTCTCACTGACCACCAACGTAAGGAACAGGCTTCTTCTCACTGACCACCAACGTAAGGAACAGGCTTCTTCTCACTGACCATCAACGTAAGGAACAGGCTTCTTCTCACTGACCATCAACGTAAGGAACAGGCTTCTTTTCACTGACCACCAACGTAAGGAACAGGCTTCTTCTCACTGATCACCAACGTAAGAACATTTTGTCCTGGATGTCAAATATGCCAAGTACACCACATTCCTTAGTCATTTATTTTTATGTCTTACTTCACTATTAATGCTGATCAACCACCAGCTGTAGATATATGTAATTATTTTCAGGGGTTCTCTGAGACCTGAAAGTTATGTTAAGGGTTCTCCCACATTAAAAAGGTTTAGAAATGCTTTGAAACGCATGCATAAAAATGTATAACCTTTTAAGTGGTGTAGGCCTCCAGAAATTATTCTGTTGTAAATGTTACTAACAGGTAGGGCTGCAACCAGCTAATGTAATCATCGATAATGAGAATAGTTATCAACAATTCTCATTATTTATTGATTGGTTGGTGCTATTGCACCAGCCCAGTACCTGCTGTATTTACATTTAGCTGCCGTCTGTGGAATCTTGCCACTGGCAGCTGTCATTCCCTGGCTGAAGCCATTTAATCGC